GAGAGAGAGAGAGAGAGAGAGAGAGAGAGAGAGAGAGAGAGAGAGAGAGAGAGAGAGAGAGAGAGAAATGAAGTGGCTGCCATGCGCGAAGCCATAGAGGTAAAAGATGCACCCTACAGGTAGCGGCATATGGATTTGTTTTGTGCTGGTGCTCAACATAGATCCGGTAGGGGCATAATGCAAATGTGGAACGGCTACCGGTAGGGGCATAACAAAATATTTCAGGCCCAACCGACACCAGGGTTTTATAGGGTATTTGAATCGTGGCCAGAAGGGCGCGACAGGGTAAATCGGCCGTGGGAGGGGCGCTACGCAAAACAATGGAAATTACAGGGGCGCCTGACAAATTTTACCTTTTCTCTTTCTCGTTCCTGAGTTACCTGATCAAGTCCACTTCTTTCCATCGACTGACCTACACCAGCCCGCCTGACTACACACGGGCCTAACTTGGGCTGACACTGGCCTAACCTTGGTTTTCAGGGTGCGTTGTGTCGGGTGAAGACCGCACAGGTAGTAGAGCAACTGCGTTTTGTTATGTGTCATCTTTGCGCGGCCATGCTAAATTCTCCGTATACCCTAACCATTAGGGGCAAGGGGCAACATGAAATCCCCCCTTCACAAAGAGAGGAAAACTATGCTTGCAGGGGTCCCCTCTAGATAGTCTTAGGAGTAGGTAGTGGAAGGTAAACAAAAACAGAAGTTGAGAGAAGAATATAGACAGTTGTGATCACCCCAAAATACATAAATAAATAAATAAATAAATAAATTCTCCTATTTTTCGAATTTTAACGGATGCCTGTGGGGACAATCGTCATATATTGTTGCGTTTTTTTTTTTCTTTCGGTTGTATTTCCACGTTTCCCGTCATATCGCCTTAATCGCAGAAGAGAGATACCATTGGAGGCGGCAAGTGGGGCAACATGGGTGGGAATCTCCCGTGTTGGTGGCGGGAACTTCCATGGACAAGTAAGGTACCGTAAATTTGGTGCGCTGATTTGCGGCAAGTGGCATTGTGGTTGTCGCCGTTTGTGGAGTGGAGTGATTGATTGATTATTTGATTGATTGGTCGGTCGGGAAAAGCAGAAGGCACAGCACGCAGCACGAGAAGGGGAAGGGGCCAGTCGCTCGAGCGCAGTAATTATAATTGTAGGACTAGAGGAAAGATGATGGAGAGCAGAGGCGAGCTGATGGATATGGACGTGAACAGTCTGTCGCTGACGGGTCGGGAGGGAACTGGGCAGGTGGATGTTACATTCACCGCTACAGAGAGCAATCCATCGCGGGAAAATGAAGGCCAAGCGAATCTTGCAGTGACGCTTGTCCCGGTCATGTCGACCGACCTTGTCGAGCGCCAACAGCAGACTCGTGCCGTCAATCCCTGCCACGTGGATGCCGCTGTGTCCTTAATCAAACGCCGGCTAGTGAGCGGTCACAGCTCTGCAATTGCAGAAGAGGGCGCGGAGTCGGCTATTCTAACGGAGGATGCCAAAATTAATGAGAGGTAAGGGCTTAGCAGCAGCCCATGTGTGCCTCTGTGTGTGTGTGTGTGTGTGTGTGTGTGTGTGTGTGTGTGTGTGTGTGTGTGTGTGTGCGCGCGCTCGCTCGTGCGTG